ACATACATATATCTTTGTTTGTTCACTACCCGTCTATACTCACCTCTCATCACATATGCTCCCCCTACCGTCCTCCTCTGTGGGACTAGAAAAGACAGATTAAAAGATGACGGCTGAGACCTTTTTTCTTTTCAGGTGGCACACATCTTTGGCATGACTATCCTAGAGAACTATCTGTACGTGGCCAACCACCTCAACAACAGCATAATCCGCGTCCACCGCTACAACACCAGTGTCCCCAACCGCGTGGTCAGCACCATGACCAAACCCGCATCCATGAAGATCTTCCATCCTGTTGCTCAGACTTTTGGTGAGATCTTTGTACTGTTTCCCTGTCTCCTGTTCTGAGATTTAATTTAGCTTTAGTAAGAGTTTTATGGCACTTGCAACACAAATAGGACATATAGGTGCCGAAGATTAGAGATTGTTACTTGAGAGTAAAGTTCAAAGAAAAGATGGATGAGAGATAGGAAAGAAGGAGCAAATCGCACCAGAGCACCCAACAACAACCACCCACTATTTAAGATTTGGGAACTGGTAGGAATGAAGACTTTCATTTTGATACGTTGTAACAAGCACACCCAAGCACACCCCACCCCCAAATCATTCTCCCTCTCTGTGAGATGTAGGAAGTGACCTGTTTTGCTTGTGTAAAATTTGCTCAACTTGAAAGTTAATGAAGCCATGCTTAGGGATATATGTGTGTGTATGTATATATGTATATAGATAAGTTCATTCCAGCTAATTCACCATAGAGTTATCTCTGCCAAAAATGTTCAGACTATACGTAATCTTGATCTATTATTGCCCAACAGACACCACTCTTAAATCATACTTTTTCCCCGTGGGCTACAGATGAGACATTAGTTGTTTTTTCCCCTTTATGTCTGTATTTTGTACTGAGTGTTGTCAACAGTGATAACAGTACTTAGCACTGCCTAAAATTGTAAGGGAAAAAAACCCAATTCAATTATCTGAAAAATGTTCAGTAAAATATTTGCTTCCTCTTGTTTCAGACCAGGCAGATCTGTGCACCAAAGTGAAGTGTGAGCACTTGTGTGTCCCGATTCCCAGTAGTGGTGGGCCGACGTCTGTGAACGCTTCCTGTATGTGTCGCCTGGGCTTTGTGAAAATTGACGGAAAGTGCCAGGGTATATGATTTTTTTTTTCTGTTCCTAAATGGATTATGATTTGTTGGTCTTATAGCTGGAACTTTGGTCTGGTTGGGAACGATAAAAGTGAATGTGTTCTGTACATCAACTCACTTTCTCTCTCTTTCTTGTTTGCATGCTTGCGTACGTGTGTGGGTGCGTGCGTGCGTGCTAGTATTCCTTCCTCCAATAATATTGTTCTCAATTTATGTAAACTATTGAGATGCTGCACTAATTTGTGGATTTGCTTTGTCATATATTATAATGTATAGATGTATGGGTCAAAGGCCTTTCAAATCAATAAAATTATCTTGAAATCTATATGGTTGAGTGAGTAGTTCTGACTTTGACTTGAGAGTATCTTCCTTTCCACAGCGGTCACCTCCTCCAGGTTTCTCCTGCTGACCAATGTGAGACAAGGGATGGTCCACACGGTGTCTGTTGACCCAGGCCAGGCTCCCAGAGACCTGTACCCTCCCATCAACAACTTGGCACAGCCCAACGCTGTGGACTTTGATGCCTCCAAAGAGTACATCTACTTTGCTGATGTTTTCTCCTCGACTGTTGGAAGGAGGAAGTTCAATTCTGATGAACCGGTGGAAATCTTGCCGATCAAAGGTGTGGACGAGACTTGTGTATTTTTGTGTGAGACGGCGGGAAAGAGCGGGAAATTTTTTGGGTTGTCTCTGTTGGAGTTTGCTTCTTTCTGTCTCTGAGGGAGGGAACTGTGGCAGAAATTCTCATGTTTGACATTGGCAAGAGAGGTGTTTTGTTGCCTTCTCAGAAAACTGTTTTTGGAACCTAGGGGCTCTGCTGAGGGGCATGGATTGGGAGGGAGGTGGGGTGGGGATTTTTTGAAGGAAAGATGGATGGTGTGAGTAGGAGTGTGTTCAGGTGTTCAGCGAGTGATAGGAATGGATGGTGGATATACAAGAGAAAGTTTGTTAGGTTATTGGGAGGTGGGGGGGAAGGAAGGTTGTTACGAACAAGTGAGATGAGCTTGGTTATAAATTATGAGAAGGTGTAGTGGGAATGGTAGTGGGTGTATAGTAGGTTGTTGGGTTGGTTATGGTTTGAGGTGATGAGTGTTTTGATTTAGTAAGAGATTTACAACACTTGCAACACAAAAGGTCATAATAGTGTTGAAGATTAGAGATGTTTTTAGAGAGTCGCATACAAAGAAAAGGAGGAGTTATAAACATGATAAATGACTGATTAGAAAGAAGGAGCAAACCACACCAGAGCATGTGCCAATCAGCTACATGGTAAGTGTGTTGGATGGGATTTGGTAGGTTATGGGGATGATTGGTAGGCGGATGGGAGGGGATTTGGTTTCTTTTAGGAACAGCGTACTGATATAGGTGTGATGGTGGTACAAACAAATTTGATCATGCATTAAATTTTAAGTTATGCAAATTACCTTGTCGAAATAGTCAATACCCCATAACAAGCCCCCATTCTTTTATGAAGCGTTACCAATTTGTTCCTGTGTATATTCGCGCACCCGCAGGTCTCAACTGTGATGGTCTAGCTGTGGACTGGGTTGGTCAAAACCTGTACTGTGCTGACCATGGGCGGAGCAAGATCTTTGCCGTCAGTCTGCGGGACATGAGTCAAGTGACCACTATACTGGATGCAAGCAAAGTGGACGGCATGAGCTTCAGTCCAAAGGCTCTAGCTGTAGATCCCCTCAATGGGTATGCCTATCTACTTAAAGCCTCTTTTTAAAGAGTCTTGCTTAGAGACATGTTCTGTTCGTGCTTTTTTCATCTTCTATTTGTGAACAAATGTTCTTTTCTTTTAGTAGATCTATCTTTAAAAAAGTTTTCTTATCTCTGATTCCTCATATTTTTGCTTTTATATCTATCTTTGTCTCCCCCCCCCCCCTCCCCCCCCCCCAAACATTCACACTGGCTCTTTCTGCTCAATCCACTGCATTAAAAAAAATCTTAGCACTTTTTGTTTTGCTTTTACTCTCTACCAGGAGATGCTGCATACATAACTTTTTTTTAGACCTTTCACCTGTTTCACCTCAATGAGATGAAGGTTTTTAAAAATTTCTCTCAGGTTCCTGTATTGGACCAACTGGGCGTTGCCAGTGGGGAACGGCAGTGTGAGTTGCTCGGGTCTGGACGGTAGTCAGCCCACAGAGCTCCAGGAGGGAGGTTTCCACTGGCCACACGGAATCTCCCTGGACGTTCCAGAGCAGAAACTTTATGTCTCCGATGCTTTCTATGACAAGATTGTCACAATGAAGACTGACGGGTCCGAGATGACGGTGAGTATTTGTTGATAGCTGATACTGTTTGTCAGGGATGGGCCACTTGCTCAGATAGTAGAGTGCTGGACCGCAATGCAGATAACAGTGGTTTGAATCCCTGATAGAACGTTGTTGATCTGCGTGAGTTTCCAAGGCTTGCCTCCCACTGGGATGGTAATGTCGAAGGTGATTGTTAAGTAAGCATTTGCACCTCTTTGTCAACTGCACTGTGTTGAAACAGGCTTTGGTCCCATGCTATTACGTGCTTATGTTTAGCTTGATGCCACTTACTCATAGTTTAAGAAATGTTTTTCCTTGACATCTAGAAGCTATGCCAAGTTACTGCTCCTAAATGACTCACATCGATACTCTCAGCATATACGCTGAATGAGGATATTTTACAGTGTAGATAAAGCAAGATATTTTTCTTCAAAAGGTCAGTTTATCTACTGATAAACTGTTTTTTTGCTGTTTAAAAAGTTCTGTGAACTTATTAACTCCGTTTTGTGTAATATTTGTGCAGTTTGTTCAAGTATAGCCTTTTGTTTGCTCATGGGCCCGAAAGGAAAGTAATTAGAAATGGTGGTTGAATCTGAATCATTTATCAATTTAATATTTTTTCCATGTATGGACTCGTCTTTAGTCTGAGGTAATACTTTTTCTCTCATTTATCAATTGTATTGTTTTTTATTGTGTTCTTTGAGCTTGCCATCTTTTCCTTCCCGCGTTACTGATTTTATTAGAAGATTGTACTCAGCTTTCTCTGTAATGTGTTGCCTACCTGTGGTTAGTTGGTTTATTTCGGGAAAAGTAATTGAGTACCCATTTGACATTGAAGAAGAGAGTGACGACAGACTGTCCAAGACCTCGTGAGTGTGAGTGGCAGTCGTTGGACAAGAGCCTAGTCACTCGTCATTGCAAGTCAGTCGGTCAGCACATGGTGCTAGATAGGGACAGTAGAGTAGGCTGTCGCATGAAATGTGAATTTGTGACTGCTCAATGGACATCCTGTAGTCGGTGATTGCTACAAGAGGTGGGTGTTTTTATTTAAACTACACTACCTTTACTTCTTTCTGTTTTGTCTCTGCATATTTTCATAAATGGAAGAATTGGGTTGTCTTTTCACAGGAACTCATCAGTTTCAAGGACAATAACCAGTATCCGTTTGGGATCAGCAAAGTGGACAATCTTCTGGTGTGGGCTGAGTCAATGAACGGCAGCCTCATGCAGTTGGACCTGGACACTGGCTACAGTTCTGTCCTGCGCAATAACAGTGCCCCTATCCTGGATGTGAAACTCTATGACAGCAAACTACAAACACCACTAGGTCTGCAACTTGGTTTTTGTCGTTGTTTGGGTAGTTGATAGATGTTCAAGGGAGGTTGGTGGGTGTACAAAAAAGGTAAGACATGCTAGTGGGATGTGAAAACTATGACAGAAAATTCTTAACACCCCAAGGTTTGCAGCTTAGTTTTAAGTTTTGTTTGGGTAGTTGATATAGGTTCAGGGGAGGTTGGTGGGTGCGAAGGGGATGTGATGTGTTTACAAGAGTGGCAACAAAGGCTTGTGGGATGTGAAGCTCTATGACAGCAAACTCCAAACACCACTAGTTCTGCGACTGAGTTTTTGATTTTGTTTGGGTAGTAAATGGGTGCTCAGGGGAGCGTGGTGGGTGCTTAGGGGATATTGGAAGGTGCTCAGGGAAAGATGCTGGGTGCTTACAGGAGGTTGGTGGCAGTGTTGAGTTCTAAGCTCAAAATATTTTATTAACGAATAAACGTGCTTTTTTCTAGTGTCCTTAAATAAACGAGCGAATAAACAAATCAGACTATATCAGACTGTGGGCGGGCAGAAGTTAATCAATGCATGGCAAAGATTCATTATTCAGCTGTTTGAGTCAATGCTCATTTGTGATGTCACGAACGAGCAAGCCCATCGAGCCAGTGATGATACTTTTGGCTCGTTCGTTCATGACGTCACAATGTCGCAATGAAGCCTCACTAGCACCTTGCACGTCGATTTTCAATAAATAACGTTCATTTCGAGCACATGGTGATTGGATGGTTCTATCACCCTGGTGTCCCATGTCTGCTACCCGTTTGCTTGTTTCTCAATTCAGTAATGAATTCGGCCAAGATCTAGTATTGCTTCGACAGTATGATACAGCCAGCTCATTATTGAGCCTCGCCTGTCGTGCAGCCACTTCTTGTCTACAAATTGCTGTCCCAATAGTGCCTGATGTGCCAAACTCAGGGTGATCAGCGGTACATCTTTGGCTGAAAGCGAGTGATATTATTTTATTAGTGAATCATTTTGCCCACTGTGTGCAAAGTGGTCCGCTTTTTTGAGTGCATCCTCTTGGCTCTTGATTAATGAATCAGTAATCGATCACTTACTACACTACTAGTTGGTGGGTGCTCATAGGAAGTTGATGGGTCAGGGGAAGTAGGTAGGTGCTCCTTGTCATTCCTGTTAGTTAAAAAAAAAATTTCTTTTTACTTTTTTGATATTGTCACTGTCTTGGTCTGGCTGAGGTCATCTCTGTGACCATTAGTGTCAATATTGCTATAAAAATTAAACTGAAACACTGCATCTGCCTTTATGCGTTTGTATATATAAATAAATGCATGTGTGCCTATGTGTGCATGTGTGTGTGCGTGTGCGTGTATGCATGCATAGGTGAATCCTGCTTCTTAACTGTCCCTCTGTTGTGGGGATTGGCGGTGCTCTGGTGCAGTTTGCTCCTTCTTTCTTATCAAACATATATTCTCCTTATTTCTCCTTCTTTTTTTGTGTTTGTTACTCTCTTGTAATAGTTCTATGCTCCACCATATTTACCACCTAATTGTGTTGCAAGTGCTTTAGAACGCTTACTATAACATAAAACACAAAATGTCTCCCACAGCCAACCACCCATGCTCCACCAACAATGGAGGCTGCAGTGACCTGTGTCTGCTGACCCCTGAGGGTGGCCGAGTGTGTCGCTGTGCTGATGGGAGAGAGACCTCTGACAATGGGGTCACATGTACTGGTGAGTTAATTACCTTTTTAAAATATTATTGGTGACTCCTAATTCATTATTTTCATAGGCTCTGTTTTGGTGTAATATTAGAGTCTTGTGTTTCTCTAAATGTGTAGTGAGCATAATATTATACTGTTTTGAAGGAATTTTGTTTTATGAAGTTTCTAGTTTGAAAGGAAGCTTCGTGTTGATCTATTTTTATGCTTGATAAGATCTTATCATGTACTTGTTCATAAATTTACAAGGTTAGAATATCCAAGCTTGAATATTTTTGTGAAATTCCAGGATATGTTTTAGTTAATGACGTATGCAAATTAAATTTACTGATTGAAAAAAAATGTATTAAAGAATCTTATTGTGTCAAGCGCATTATTTCAATGTACAATATGGAATATAATTTTTTAAAATCTTATATTTTCCACAGAAAAGAGTCTTGGAGGCAAATTTTTTGGTGCAATTTGAATGAAGTGTTTTCTCTCAGTTGTGGTGTTAGGGAGTCTAAGGCAGCCCTTTGCTGTATAAAAATGGTTTTTTTTTAATGCCCTAGATCTTAGGTTCTTTTTGTTTTTTCTATTCCTTATTGCCACTGTGTTTTCAGGGAAAGTTTCAAGTCTGGGCTGTGCCCGGTCAGACGACTTCCAGTGTGATGATGGCCAGTGTGTCCGTGGCCACGCCAAGTGTAATGGTATAGTGGAGTGTGCTGACCGCTCGGATGAAGCCATAGACTCAGGGGCTAAGTGCAGTGAGTATGAGGGGTGGGGAAAAGTGGCTGTGGTGATATTGGTATTGGAGAAGGGGATAGGTGTCAGTGTGAGGTAGAACGGAATACTTTTAAGGGGGGGGGAGGGAAAGATGTAAGGGAAAAGTGAGGTGAATGGATTGATGCAGGAATTGGGGGACATGGGGAGATGTAAGAATTTGCTTGAGATGGAGAGGAATGAAAAAAAATGGGCTCTTTGTGTTATATGCCTGTTATGCTTTCCATCTGATAGGTGGTTTGACTGTTATTGACTAATTTGTTGAGGTATTGATTTATGGGCTGTGTTACAGACGTTTGGGGGGGGGGGGGTTGAATGATTGCAGGAGCAGTAAAATTATTAGTTAAACTTTAACTCAAATACTCAAGCAATAAATTTTGCTGTAGTAGTTAAGTACTGCTGCTTTGTGTTGTCTACCAGACATGTTTTCACACATTCCAACATCATGACTGAGTTTTCTCCGCTGTGAGGAGGATCATGGGTGTGTGTCTGAGAGAGACCATGGGAGTGGGTCAAAGGGAGATTGTGGGAGTTGGTCTCAGAGAGATTGTGGGAGTGGGTCTGAGAGAGATTGTGGGAGTGGTTCTGAGAGAGATTGTGGGGGTGGTCCGGAAGGTGATTGTGGAAGTGGTCCTGAAGGTGATTGTGGGGGTGGGTCTGAGAAAGATTGTCAAAGTGGGTCTGAGAGAGATCGTGGGAGTTGTCCTGAGAAAGATCGTGGGAGTGGGAGTGGTCCTGAAGGGGATTGTTTGAAGGTGTGGGCCTGAGAGAGGTCTTGGGAGTAGGCCGTGATGTTCTGCCTGTAACTGTTTCTTCTGCTGCTCCTTCTTTCCTCCCTCTGCTTAGTACTGACTCTTATAAAGATTTGTGGTGGGTAGAGAAGGCTAACAGTGTAAGCTGATAGAGTTGGCTGATACAGTGGGGTTATAAAGGGGGCCAATTCAGTGAACTGATAGAATAGGCTGATAGAGTTAGCTGACAGAGTAGGCTGATATGGTTAGCTGATAGATTGGGCTTGTAGAGTAGGCTGATTGAGTAGGTTGATAGAGAGAGTAGGCTGATTGAGTAGGTTGATAGAGAGAGTAGGCTGATTCAGTAGGCTTATTCAGTCAGGTGAGTAGGCTGATAAAGTTAGGCTGATAAAGGAGGCTGATAGGGAAGGCTGATACAGTGAACTGATAGATTGAGCTGATAGGTAGACTGATATAGCGAACTGATAGATTGAGCTGATAAAGGGGGCTCATAGACGAGAAGCTTCACAGTTGTAGTGATGGAATGTGTGAGAACAGACGTAGCTTTTTATCTATTCTGTTTGTTTAAATCTTCTGTGTTGTGAAGATGTGCTTTGGTTTGTGTTTGGCCCCCCAGATGTCAGCATGCCCTGCAGCGAGGACATGTTCAACTGCAACGGCTCTGAGTGCATCTACAAGCACTTTGTCTGTGATGGTGATCAGGACTGCAAGTTTGGAGAGGATGAAGATGACGAGCTGTGTAATTGTGAGTTCTTCTTCCGTCACTTTTTTTTTTGTGGTGTGTGTGGGGAGAGGAGGGGGGAGATTAGATTGGATGATTGGATAGATTGACGGTGGTAGTGATGTGGTGAATGGGTGAGGAGGGAAATGTGTTCATATGGGGATAGGGATTTAATGTTTGCGTTATTTTTTATTCAGGTGTCGTATAACTTTTTTCTGCTTGAGGACAGGGGTATTGTGTGTGGTAATTTTTGTTTTTTATTATGACGCTGTACAATATTTAATTCCTGTA